ATTCCAGAATTATATCATGTGACAGATCGGTCACTCCAGTATTTATTACTTGTAAACCACATATAATTAATATTTCTTCTTCATTTTCACAACAACTCAATATTAGGGAGATTGAATATTAGTTTAGTTCATACAAGTTAGAGTTTATAAGTTGTAAACGTAATCAGAACAAAAATAAATGAGGGGGAACTAGTCCCAAAATATTATGACTAAAACATTCTAATTTTAGCATCCTCAAAAATAGCAATTTCTTTTTGATCTTCGATAATAGAAAATGATGTGCGCCTATTTCAAAAAATTCAGCATCGCTCATTATACTTTATATCGTTATCACTATATATAGTATTTTGACAACTTTCAAATATCTTAATAACTTTTACTTTACTTATTTTTTTATACATTACTACACTACTTAGAGTAACCATACATAAATTGAATTAATTCATTTATATTACAAATGACTTATTTACTATTTTGTTTCAGATGAATTCCTATTTGAAGAAAAATTGATTATGAATTAGAAATATTTAACCCACTAATGAAAAAAGTAAGAGTTAATTTAATTTCATAAAACTCAGTATAATAATATTCATATAACCAATATCTCAAAAGGAAAAGTTGATTATAGTATCAAAATGATGTAGTTTATTTTGATTGAGAAAGATCTCTATATGAATTGTTTTTTCTAACATTGATTTTTTTAGTTATTTTATTCTGTTTATTTCACTCAGATATATCTGCAATAGAATAAAAAGAAAATAAAGCCCTCAAAGATAGAAGAAAATTTCTTTTGAGTTAAGTTTATAGAATATAACAAAATAATGATAAATATTTGATCAAATTAATATCAAATTATCAATAAACGTAATTAATTATTATTTTTGAATCTGTTAAATAACACTAAGATTTAAAAAGTTGTATTTTAAGTTGTCCTTTCTATGAAATCATTGGGATTTCAAAATGGTATTAGATATAAAATTGTTAAAAATGACCTTTATTAAAAATAACAATAACTTCAAATCCTAGTTTAAAATTAAGATGATATAAGGAATTATTATTATAAATTATCATAAAATAATTCTTTAATGAATTAATATTTAATTGTTTGAAGGTAGATATTATTGATGAATTTAAATAAAATGAAAATATATTCAGGGTAACATTAATAAAATAAAACTACTATTTAAGATAAGATGTTTATATAATTTTCAAAAATAATAAGTCATGTGTACTTGTTAGACTTGGAGATTATATTTTCAATCAAAAAAAATATTAATTAAATTAGATTTTTCAAATTATTTGAAAAGGAGAGTTTTACAGGCAAAATATTTTTAAATTGAAATATTCGCAAAGGAACATTCAACTGTCAACTATGAAATCAATAAGTTATTTTAATTATTTTAACTTATTTTCTAACAAATTAAAATATCATTCATGTCTCTTATTTCTCTAAACTTAATTTAATATTAAATATACAAAATTGCATTAATTAAAATATTCTCATTAGATAATCTTTAGAGTGCAACATGTATCTCTTAATCAAATTTAATTCCTACTCTGTTCAAAAATAATCTAACACTTCTCTTTGAATTGATTATTCCTTATGAACTGAAGCATTATCTATCATTACGCCTAAGGCATCAGTAAGTTTTCTCCATCTCCCCAATTATGTATATTCTTTATTTAAATTTGTTCTGCCTATTTTAAAACTTTGTTTCTGTTATTGTCATAGTCTTAAATACATGTTCATTTTTGATACGACGATTATAAAATTTTTTGATGACTTTTTTAAAATCTGTTTAATGTGAAATAATTTTAGAAAATGGGATTTCGGTTTTGATTTTAACCAACTTGAGTTCAGCTTTATAAAGTTTAAAGTTGGAATTTTTTATTAAATAAACAGAATTGTATCTTCTAACGACAATGAATGATTCCACACCCTAAACTACTTCAAACTTAATTATAAAGTAAAAGATCATTATAATTTAAAGACCCTCCATTAAAATAATGATCACTTTATAAAATCTCTTAATATAATCATTTATACTTGTATCTATTGAATTGATTTTGTTCAAAATTTCTATTATCATGCATTAATTTCATTTGAAATTCTTAAATTTAGAATAATTATAAAAATTTGTTAATAATAAATTAATAAAAAAAAGTTTTATATCAATTACTCATGCGATACTAATTTCAAAGTTTATTAACTTCTAAAATATTTTAATTTAATTTTTAACTACATTTGAAATCCGAAACAAAATTCTTGATTAAAACAAATAATGAAAGTAAATAAAATAAAAAAGTTGATATATATTCAAGACGTCAATGTTGCTATTGGATCAATGGATTCTGCATATTTTGGAATTTTAATAACAAAGTTATCATATGCAGAAACCAAGTATTTTGATAATCACAACAGAATATCTATTCAAATTTATGACTCATTAGGTCTTAAGGAACAAACAATCTGAAGTTAAAATAGGTTAGTTGTTTTAAAAAGTTACAACTGTAAAATTGTTTGAATACCTAAAAAACCATGGGGATTGAAGAACAGCATTTTTCAGATAAAGTATGGATGACAAATGTGTTATATTCTTTAAAGAGTAATCATCCAAAATTTACAAGCTATATGACAGAATGTATATCAGTACTTACTTTAGAGGACATAAGGTATGAATTATCTAATGGATTATTCAATCTTTTAACACCTCTCATGGTCCTTCTTGTTATGAAAGAAGCTTTTAAAGGTCAAAAGAATAATAGAGTGCATTCAGATTGTAAAGAGTGAAAAATGTTAAAGTAGAAGAAACAATATTTATGAAATATTATGCGATAAAAACTGTAAATCAACTATTCTCATTTGATATTAACTTAATCAGAGTAATGTGATTGACATAAATGTTGAAATTGTTGTATGTGAGTATTTTAATATTACAATAATAGTTTAACCTCTATTATTAGACCTAGATAATAGATTTAAGTTTTGAAAATTTTAAAAAACACAAGAGTTAAAAGACTTTTTATGTCTATTACTTTCCTTTTAAAATAAATAGGAGAAGAAAAACTTATTAGAAATAACTTTAATAAAAATAAAGTTAAGCATTCAATAAATATAGTAAGGAAATTTTTGATTGGTTGTAATGAAAGTTAGAACAAATGAAATGAATGAAAAGATGTTGTATAATTTTTCAAATAAAATGATTTTTTTATAAGCTTTAAATTTTGTTCATTACCTTTCATTAGTAAAGATCAATCGTAAAATAATTATAAAAATAAAAATACAAATGTAAATATATTTTTCTGAATAAAATTTTTTTTTCGTGTAATTTGTTTTAATAAATATGAATTCTATGGTCATCTAAATATTAAGAACATTTTAGTAATTTTATCATAATGTCATAGCAGAAAAAGAAAAACAAAGAATATTATTAATTTGTGATGTGTAAAAAGCTGTTACAAGAATTATTAATTTTTTAATGGCAATATCAGGATAATTACATTTTACTTTTTTTTGGGCTATGTATTTTCGTGTTATTAATAATGAACTTTTTCTTCATCAGTATTAGAAGAAAAAAAGAATCCATTTTATATTTAATTTGCATTAATC